GCAAGGAGGAGCCGGGTAACCACTTGTGCGTGAGCGTGTGAGAAAGAATAAGGATTCTGGATGCAGATTGATTGGGCTTTAAATCCCAGTTTTGCCTCTGACAAGCTGTGAACTCATGGGCAATGCACTTAATTCCCCTCCGCTTTGGTTTCTTTATCTGTTAACTTGGGATGACAGCAGCTCGCTTCCTGGGATAGTATGAGGATTAGAACATGGCGTCAAGCTCCGTAAAGACTGGTTATTTATCTTATGACCATTGTAAGGCTGCTGCAAGTGTTATTGACTGGTGACCATCTATCTTTGTTGCCCCTCCTTACAGCCTCTCCTCCCTCTTACTTGGTGCTCCTAGATTCATCATCTTTTTCTTTTTTTTTTTTTTAAGATTTATTTATTTATTTTAGAGAGAGCGATGGGGAGCATGAAGCCCGACATAGGGCTCGATCTCACAACCCTGAGATCCTGACCTGAGCCAAAATCAAGAGTTGGACACTCAACCGTCTGCACCACCCAGGCGCTCCAGATTCATCTTCTTAAGGCTCAATTTTGATAATGCGGTTCCTTGGCTCAAAAATATTCCCTGGGCCCCTATTGCCCAACTGGTCATATTCAGATGCTCTGGAAATAACTCACAAACCCATCTGTCTGGGAGATCTGTCCTTCATGAGGCTTTTCCTAACCCCCCAGCTAAGGAGAAGCTGGGTGGTACTGACTCAGAGGTCAAGAGTGTTGTTGACTGAGTGCCCATATGGGGGAATTTTTCTTTGTTTTGGGAGCAAATACATGCAGTCACTGGTCAAGGTGGGGGAAAACAAAAACCCTGCCTTTTCGCCTAAATATGTGATGTCCTCAGAGGTCCCTCCCAGCTTTAGAGCTGCTTAAGAAACCAGCTGAGAGCTCTGTTTTAACCGTGCTGTGGGCCAACCTCACCTTCTGCCCAGTTCTGTGGACTTAAGGATGCAGAGACAAAGAAGACTACATTTTGCAACAGGAATTATCAAGCAGCCTTGCCTCCTCGTAACCTTCCTGGTCCAAAATTTCCAAAACCTCGTGGAGCGCCTTTAGATGCAGGAGATGAACTATGTCTGGGAGGCTTTGAACCTTGGCATTGGCTAAGGCACTACTGCACCGAGAAGGAGTTAGAGCTGCGTCTCCATGCAGGGCCCCCTGCTTGCCGCGTCGGCACCTCTCCCATTCCCTGGGTGCTCCTCTGACGTCTGTCCATACTTGGCCTTGTCCTACTCACCTGGTGCACTGGGGCTCCTGCCCTGATGACTGTATCCACCTCGTGCCAGCCATGATCCCCATCCTGCAAGACTTCTGGCTTTCTCACCTGACCTCCCGAATAGGCCCTTGCTCTAGACGTTGGCCAGCCTGGCTCCTCTCCCTGTCTGCCTACCAGCCCCAGCACACAGGCTGCGAAGGCCTGGAAGGCTCGCTAATCTGCCTTATTTTATGATAAGTTCCCAGTCTGAGTTTCCAACTTCAGACCCAGAAGTCCAGCTGACTATAGGGTATCTCCGCCTGGCCATCCTCCAAGGGCCACCCCCAATTCACTCTGTTCCAGCATTTCATTATCTCCATTCAACCAAACTTTTCCCTTTAACTATGCTTTGCATGTTACTTGGGATGATTTTCTTTTTCGGTAAATTAAATGCCTGAAAGATGTTACAAAAGTTTGTCTTTAGAATTATGCTGCCTAGGGACGCCTGGGTGGCTCAGTCGGTTAAGGGTCTGCCTTCGGCTCAGGTCATGATCCCAGGGTCCTGGGATCGAGTCCCCCATCGGGCTCCCTGCTCAGCGAGGAGCTTGCTTCTCCCTCTGCCTCTGCCTCTCTCTCTGTCTCTCATGAATAAAGAAATAAAATCTTTAAAAAAAAAAAGAAAAAATATTTATGCTGCCTATTCTTTCACCTACTACATGCCAAGTGTCCACCCCAGGTCAGACTCTGCTGAGGAAAGAAGCGGACCTGTCCCTTGGAGAGGTCAGAGTCTGATGAGGGGACCATGTGGTCAGCAGCCCCAAGTGCTCAGCACCTAAGACAAAATCTATGTGTGTTCCTAATTTCCTCTTACTCCTTCTCTGTCCACACACCCACGTGCAACTGTCACGTCCTATAGTGCAGACCACCTTTCAAAGCTCTCATATGCATTCCCTGTCCCCAGACCCTTCTCCACTGCCCTGACAGGATCTCATAAGCATAGGGCAAATTCTAAGCTGTTCAGCCACGCTTGGAAGGTCCTTTCCTCTTTGTCTTCCCTTCCTGCCTCCTTTGCATGTAAAACCCAAGAGTGTGGAACTATTTAGCTTCACAAAACATGCTAGACTCATTTTGTGCCCCTCCTGGAACATCATTCCCTCTGCATGGAATATTCTCCCTGACGTGACCACTAGACAAAGTCCTCTCTTTCTCTTAAGCTTGAGGTGAAACATCCTCTCATCTGTGAGGTTTTCTGGAACCTTCTAGGAGTGGTTGCTTTGCTCTTTTATTCTTTGCTTGATCTTGCACATCTCTCTATTGCCCAGGTATTGCCAGACCCTTGTGCATACTTGTGTCTCTAGACAGACCCCCAAGTTTCCTGTGGGGTGGGCATCCTTGGCACCCCACTGAAAGACTGACTATACAAACAAAGATAAAAACATAGAACTCTGATCTAAAACTCACAGCAACACATTACCTACAATAAAGCCCAGGAAGTCAGTCTGCCCTAAGTCAGACTTCTAAGAAGTCAAACCACTATCTTTAGGAATAATTCAGGAAGCTGAACAGTAACCCCTTTAACAATTGGCCTCAAACAACCAGCACTTGATTAGTAACTGCTTCCTTAATTTTTTGTCTTTGATTCCAATTAGAACCAACCAGAGAAAGCCAAATATGTATCCCTAACCCATCACAAAGGACTTCTAGCAGCCCCCTTTTGCTCCCCCATGCCAACAGCCCCTAATCAGGGCTCACCTGAAGCCTCTCTTTCTTTATGCTCCAAAGCTTTCTCGCTTGTCTGCCTGCCTTTGAGTCTCTGCAAAATGCAGCTTTTGCTTCTTCTTACTTATTCCCACACAACACACTGAGGATGCTCAATGGAGTGACCACTGAAATTGTCCCTGTTACATCAGAGAAGCGAGATGGTAGTGAGTGCCTGCCTCTCTGTCTGAGGCAAAAGGTGCATGAAGCCAACACACCAGCTTTGTGCATGTCCTGGGGCACCCGCCGATCTGTCTCACCTGTCTGCAACTCTACCACGGTGTGGTCAGAGCCCCAGTCTCCAACCTGTTGCTTCATTGCTATAGGACCCCGAGAAATTCAGGATCATTTTACACCTCAGTTATTTCTCAGGCTTGAGCCAAAGTCTGCTGTCCACAAGGCAGCTTTTGTTCTTTCAGATAACTTGGGACAAGTTCAGTTTTCACGGTCAAATGAATATGAACCTTTGAAATACATAACATAAATAGGATGAAAATGTAGCCCATCAGATTTGGCAGCTTCACAGAACTGACCTAAACCTTCTCATGACTCTTGGATTCCAGTTTCCAGCTTGAGGCGGGGAATGGGAGACACGCTGATGTATTTAATACTCATGAGAACCACTAGAAGGTAGGGGGGAGGCAGCCCAAAGCGAAGGGTTCTGGGAAGAAAGAGGAGGTGAAAAGGGAATTCTTTCTGCCCTCTGGAACTTAACATGCAGAGAGAGACTGAGCTTTAGTTTGGAGCTATTCTGCATTTCTTCATGGGACAAACTAAAGAAAGAGGTTTTGGTTGCAGGAAGATAAGAGTGAAACACCCTCTCTGATAACATCTTCCTTCCGTCTACACGGCTGCCACCACCTGGGGTGGCTCTCTCTGGATCTCTCTGGGGTCCAGCAGAGCCCCTCAGCTGGCCTGTCTCTCTCGCTCTCCTTGGATCAGGTAAACTCGTCTCTTTCTTGCATCTGGGCTGTGGACCCAATAATATGGAGACTTCCTGAGCTGGTACCCAGGCTTCCCAAACTGTAGCCCCCACTTGACAGCCTGTTGGAGCTCCAGCTTCTGCTTGCTGGAAGCCTTCAGCAAGTCAGTGATTCTCTCTGCGTCTGGGTCCCCTTTTTAAAATGGAGACATAGGAATGTTTTGAGAATCAAAGGAAATAATGGACATGAACATTTGTAGACTGCCAAATCTTAAAAACATTGCTATGGTTATTATTATTGTTATAAGAACTCAATGATACATGTTAAAATGAGTTTCTTGGTTGGATAGTCAAATATTGTAAAAATTACTTAGGAGACATATAGAGCCTCTTTGAGTGGATCATAAAATCAAACAACTAGAAAGACCTGCCACAGTGATTAAACTCCACCATGAACTGTGGCTTTATGGTGCGTATCAGCACCTTGGTGTTAAGAACAGTGTCCATTTCAGCTCTATGGAAATATGGAGCCTAAAGGAGGTTGAGGGTCCTCCAGTTTGATCCTGGTGATTCAGAGATGGGGAAGTAGAGCCCCCAGGAAGCTGGACGCCAAAGCTAGAGAAAGCCAAAGGGCAACTTGTAATAATAGTACAGAACCACGAAGTTGTACACCTAAAACTAATGCATCATTATGTGTCAACTGTGCTCGATTTTTTTTAAAAAATAAACAATACTCTTAAAAAGCACCCAGATCATAAAAGACAAAGACTGAAAACTGTTAGCGATTGAAAAAGACTAAGGAGACATGACAGCTAAATGCAATGCAGAATTCTGGATTGAATCCTAGAGCAGAACAAAGCACCATCATGGAAACACTGGTGAAATCTGAATCAGGTGTGTCATTTAGTTAACAGAATGTACCCATGTCAATTTCCTACTTTTGATGATTATACTATGGCTATGTAGGATGTCAACCCTGGGGAAGCTGGGTCAAGGATGCGCAGGGCCTCTGCTTTTTCATGACTTTTCTATAAGTCTAAAACTATTTCAAAATTAAAAAAAAAACGTTTTGACCTGTTTTCTTTTGAAATAATAATAGAACAGAGCTGTACAGCTTACAGTGAAGACACAGGTCACACCTGCTCCCACTCAGGCTTCAGCACCACTCAGCGATGGACAGGACCATGTCTCCATCGGGTCTCAAGTACTGATATTTCAAACCAGGCTGTAAAGATAAGTTGCAGAGGTTCTCAAAAACTAAGGAACACAAAGCTATTATAGTTATTGTTCCCCCATCAAACAAGGGTGATTTAAGCCTGTAAGAACCTATTCATTGTTTTTACCTGTTTTATATGTTGGGGTGTTGTTAAAGATTTCCTTTGAAGCCAAAGGTTCAGCTGCTGAACATGCTTGAAGACCATGTGCCTGGAAGAAAAATCACATGCTGAAGGAGCAGGGGCAAAGTTGCCCGCGGGTGGGTTTGCGTGGATGTGTGGAGGCAGGCATGTATTAGGACGAAGGCAGAGGAAAGAAAGGTTCATTCATCAGATATTTTCCACGCTGTAGCAGGTACATGTGATGCCTATGGGAAGTGGACTCTGATTGTCAGAGTCTGCTGACAAGTCTTTGTCACTCTCTGTTTCTAAAAATCTCTCCAAGGGCAGGGACTCCCGTCCTTGCAGACTTGAATCACCCCCCGCCCCCCGCCCCATGCATGTGGCTCTAGTCTGTGAGGACAGATTGCTTCACCCTCGGGGGGTGGCTGTGAGCACAGGCTGGTCTCCGTGTTGCAACTGAATGTGATGATGCAGCTGAAGTGCTCGTATGAGAAAACACATCAGGGAATATTTTATTTCATTTATGTTACTTTGCTATTTTAAAGGGCTTCATGTGTTAGAAGGAGAAAAGAGAGAGCTGTGGATAATTCCAGTCAGTTGGGCTCCAAAATATCTCATATGAGGAGGACTTAAGAAAATGCTTTTTAAACTGCCCCATCCCGTGACCTAGAGTACAAATACATTTGACATCATGCTCCATTGCACGTGCACATACACAAGTGTCAATAAATATACATAAAATTGAACCAAATATTTTACACAATACTTACCCTCATTGCATGCCATCTACTTCTTTTGTGTTCTGTTCTGTTCCATTTTATCCATCCTATACTCTTTTATTTAAAAAAAATTGGAAAGTCGCTATTAACTTGACTTTAACACCCACTAATGTATTTGTAGTTTTAAAATATTGATGTAGGGACAAAAATCAAGCAGGTGGGGGCTGGAGGGCTAACCTTAAAGCTGGCTTTGCATTGAATGTGACAGAGAGTAAATTATGAAAATGTCAACTGACCATATCAATGAAGGGGACAGCTGACAATGATGGTGGAGCTTTTCACCCCTCCCCATACACACATACCAGCTCCAAGTCTCCCTTTGGGATAGCCAGTGATGCTGGTGAAGTTTTAACTCCTACCGATTTGACGAACATCAGCTCCCTGGTGTGTCCCCAGAGCAGTGTGACTAGACAGGACGGGATGTCACATCCTGTCCTAGGCAGAACTGGGCACCGAGGAGAAGAGGTATTTTGGAGAAGTTGAGCAGGCTTTGCCTGTGGGCTTCTGAGAACTGTTCAAGGGCAGAGTGTGGGCACCCAGGGAGACTAACTTGAGGGTGCATGAGGCTGCACAGTCTTGCTGTCCATCACAGCCTTCTGGAGCAGTGTGCCCAGGGAGCAAACCAGCGAGGAGGAGGAGAGCAACAGCCAGGAAGGGGCACTGCTGGGGAAGCTTTGTTGCTTTTAGATGCATATTGCCTGTCTTTATGACAGTTGTCTATCTGTGATTGATAATATCAGCTGAGTGTTTGTAGACGTTATTAGGCCTAAGTGCTTTACATAGAAGGACTTATTTAATCCCCATAATAACCCTAGGAGGCTCGATTTTTTATTACCATCCCCGCTTTGCAACCGAGGAAATCAGGACTGGAGAGATTAAGTGAATTGTTCCAGATCTCAATCCAGATTTGGCCTCATGCATCTGGCTCAAGAGCCTGCCACGAATCTAAGATCTGCAATGCCTCCTGCAGAGCGGCCAGGCTCTCTGCACGCCGCTGGCTGACACGGGTCAGGGACATGACCTGCAGAGAAGAAGATAGACTCAGCATTCCCAGTGATGGTTGTCTCAGAGCATAAAGCGGGAAGCAGGGATTGATAAAGAGCGAGGCTGCAGACATAGACGGCAGGCATTCCCCCAGAAGGCCATCTAAATCCCGCTAGAAACCTTGCCACTGATTCTACAGGTAAGAGGTTTCTAGAACACTGGTTCTGAAGTACAGGACCGAATACATTTTGGGGAAATTGGAGTGAGAAGAGCCAAACAAGCTCCTCCTCCACGGGATTAGTCACTACTTGGGGAGGAGGAGCAGAGCCTGGAACACCCCCCTATCGTTGTTTGACCGCTGAATGTGTTTTGCCCTGAGACTCTCCACTAGTTTTGGGCAGTACTTGGTGATGGAAATAGTGCTGTTGTTATGAGGTTTAAGGTGGGGTGGGGACATGGTCAGCATTTTAGAGAGATCGTTCTGGTTTCAGAGTGGAAAGTGGATAGGAGGGAGGAGAAAGGCTGGTGGGAGTATGAGGAAGCCTGGTTAGGGGGCGGAGAGATGATTCAGGGCACTTGCTGTGCACATCATGAGGTCAGGTAAGTGAGAGCAGTAGTTAGGGGCAAGATTGATGGGACTTTCTGACTTCTTGGATGTGGCAGGTGAAGGAGAGGATTGGATACAGGTGACTCCCCGAATTTTTTTCCCCTGGGACAGCCTCAGATGGCTCCTGCCACCTGAGTTAGACAGCGATGGGAGAGGTGTTGGGGGTGAGGAACGAAAAGTCTCAGGGACACATGGAGTGTGAGTTGCTAATGGAAGACTTAGTCAGAGAAGCCCAGCAGAGAGGTGGAGCTATAGGAAGCTGAAGTTAAGGACCAGGGACAGGCAGGAGAATCAGACTTGACCTTGATTGGCATACTAGTGGTAATTAGACTCACAAAACAAGTCTCATCACCTAGAGAGAGGGTATAGGTAACAAGAGGGCTGAGACCAGGATCCTGTGAATCGCCAACCTTCAATGGATGACCAGAGAAACATGAGTCCAGGGGCAGGGAGGAAAAAGAATGCTCAGAGATGCAGCTCCAGCTAGGAGAGGAGGGGATTCAAATATATGAGCTGGGAAACCATGAGTTCCTTAGGGTTCAATCCATTGTCCACACCCTAATAGATTGGGCTCCTGATAATCTCAAAGTAGGAGAATTTGTGGTTAAGAAAACACGTAAAATTGAGCTAGAGAGGCAAGGTCATGGGTGATATTCTGACATCACCAGAGATCCTTTTTTAGCATTTACCAACGAAACAGCACATTATGCCAAATAATTTGCATCTTGTATTAGTAACAATACAGTTAACGTGTCAACTGCATTCTTGTGTTCCATGAACAATACCTGGTACTTTCAAATATTCAATGAAATCAGTGATATCATTCAATACTTTAAAATGACCTTATGGGGAAAATACTCTTCTATGTCCATTTTCCAAATGAAACACACACACACACCACAGGCTTCTCATAGTTCAGTGCCACTCTAGTAGTAAGTAGCAGAGCCAGAATTCTCACATGGGTTTGTCTACACCCAGAAGCTGGGCTGCTGGCCACCGCACTGTGCAATATCGAATACAGTGGATTGTAAATATCTAGTGAGAAATTCCTCTATCACTAGAAACTCTTCAGGATATCTCTCTGAGTCTTATAGCAAGATGCTTATGCATTCTGCTTACTCAGAACACACACAGACTGAGAACGAAGCTTTAGCTTCTAACTAACTGTTTAACACATTTTGAGCTTCACCACTTAGGATTCTCTGTCTTTCCTCCGAAGATACCTTGAGGAATGCCTTGACATTTGCATAAACTCAATCAGAAATGCTTAGGTAAATAGAAGGCAATCTGTATACCCTACAATTAGGTAGCGGTATTTGAGGATGGGGAGGGACTGCAATATACTCTAATTTTCTCAATGTAATCATTTGTATGTGTTGGGAGAAGGAAACAGATCAAGTTGTAGCATCCTAAGGTGAGGGTAATCATATTTTGCAGCCAACATTTTCCTAGAAACAGAGCACATGGATGATGGCCTTTTTCCCTCTGTGAACGTTGTCAGAAAGCAGAGAAGCCAAACCTCTTCCTTCTGCTTGCCTTCCAGGCATCCTCTCTGATCCCTGTTCAGGTGGACGAGAAACTAAGGAGCAGACCCCTTGACTTCATTCTTCTAGAGAGAGAGAGAGAAAAGACTGTATCTCCTTACGACGTCTGTCAGCTTGAAAGAGCGGTGAATCACAGCAAAATGGCATTTTATATTTAGTAATTCATTTCCCGTTCAGATCAAGGTGACAAAGCATATGAAAATAGCTCCTCGTGACTCACATCAGCTTTTTCAGATTTTGGTAACAAAGTTTGACGACTTATTGTCAATCCGGCACTGAGAGTGTATACAATTTGTCTTGGCTATTAATAAGATATGCAGTCTTCATCTGGTCCAGAATATGATTGTAATTTCTCTCTCTCAGCAGACCACTCACAAAAACGGACAAGCCATGTTCCAGACTTGACAGAGCACCCGGGAGCCACACTGAAAGCTAGCTTCTTAATTTTGCCACACCTTGAAAACTTAGGATGTATTCGAGGTGTGAGACAAAGGCGCAATGTGCATGAAGAATTTATTAATACCAAAATTTGTAAGATGAAAGGTGTGAAAGGCTGAAAAGCTAATCATTTAGAAGGTTCAGAATTTAGAAGGTTCAGAATGACTTCATTCTTCTTTCCTGTGACTAGAACTTGGAATTTATCTGTTACCGTCCTGCTCAGAAACAGCACCTTCTGGTTGGTTGTGCCAAAACTAATCTCTGTCTAATTAGTTAGCTCATTTTTTTTTTTTTCAACCAGAATCCATTCAGACAGCATCCTAGGCACTGGGGTATGAGACTGGATAGTCTGGTCCCTGGCTCAGAAGGTACCTACGACCCTGGAGAAATCTGTGATGTAACCATTATATTTTGATTCCCTGTATATAGAGGTAGGCATGTAGGACCACAAAAAGAGCCTGAACGGTTTTGTGTGTCGGGGGATCCAATCTGATTTCAGAGAGGGGCAAACACTTGATTTGGGGCATGGAACAGGAGTTAAAGCTCACCGGGAGTCAGTAAGACCTGGGCTTGCATCTTAGGTCAGCCATTTTGGACATGGTATGTACCTTTTTGTGCCTTGGTTTTCTCATCTGTAAATGGGGACAGGATGGCCCAGCACTCATCCGTCAGCAGTATTGGGGTGATCAAACGAGGCCACGCATGGGGAGGGAGCACTTAGCAGCGTGTTTGGAAGACAGTCATGCTTGACACTGTCTTCTAAAGGAGTGAGTGAGTGCCCACTCTGGGCCAGGCACCATCTTTGGAATCCCTTGCTAGTAACCAGGGGCACTAGGAACAGATGGAGTGGAACAGAGCATGGGACCCCATCCTGGCCGAGCAACGCCCCTTTCTCTGGCGCCCACTCATTCATGTATCCTCACCCAACAAGAGATGGCGTCCTTAGCTCCTCCCTCCCCTGCATCCCTGTCCCCTCCTCCGTCATTTGTTCTAGCACCTGTGTGATTCTCACCTGTGTCAGGAATGCTTTTGGTGGCAAATAAAGACAATTGAAGTAACAAGAATTTAACCACCTAAGATTTCTTTGCCTTACATGAAACTGTTGTGGTGGCAGCATTAAGAATGAGCCCCTACCAGATCCCTGTTTATATCCTCACGGTCACATGAAGGCTGCTGCATCTCTAGGCCTGGTGTTTACATCTCAGGCAGAAAGAAGAAGTAAAGGTATAGGAGCAGACGCTGGTGAGTCTTTTTTATCGGGACTTCTTCTTACATCCCATTGAGCAGAGAGGGCCATGTGGCCACTGCCATCTACAAGGGAGTCTGGAAAGAAAGGCCAAAGGGAAGGAGTTGGGGGTGACCTTTGCCCTAACATGGTGTGTGCAGCACTGGCCATCCTTCACTCCCTAACATAACTACCACTGGTCCCATGAAAACTGTCTTGACAACTGCCAGGTTCACTGCCACCCCTGTCCATGAAAGGCCACTGCATGCTGTT